ATTATTATACGTGATAAGTGTAATTCCTTTCAACGGCGACTCATATAAGTCGGTGACGATTCATAGCTGAATATCTAAGAATAATTACAACAGTAAGTTTTTCATGGAAAGGTATTCAGTCTAATAAATCTGAGCTGTCTGATTGAAAAACCTTGCCTAGTTAACTGGTTCAATAGTTACTAGCCAGTCCTAAGCCCATAAAAAAAAAGAGGGAAGATTGAGCATACGGCTAGCAACCCTACACCGAAAAACAAATCCAATCGCGAAACAAACTTAAAAGCACAAACAAAATGTTAAACATAAAAATAAACTAATTCCTCAATGGAATCGGGGAGACGAAATGACGCCAGTTGGTGAAAGCCTTCAGGAAGCCAATTGACCGATGTGTCTCCTCTCTCCTGCTTGATGAAAGCAAAAGTAAACATGGAGACATGGAATGTCCGTACAATGTTTCAAGCTGGCTAACAGGCTGTCCAGATTGCAGAAGAGATGAGAAGGCATAGCATAGAAGTACTAGGAATCTTCGAAAGTACATGCAATGTAAGTGGGATCTCCAAACTGTCAACTGCAGAGTCAATAATCTGCTCCGACACACTGAGGCAACGCCTACCATGATGTCCCCAACAGCATCCAAGGATCTCTTTCTCATGCAGTGGGAACCAATCTCCTAATCAACGATCAGCATCATGACAGCAAGATTCAAATCAAAAGGAACGAAAGTCACAATCATTCAATGCTACACTAAGCTAAACTACACACCTTCAAATAATGCAGATGAAGAGAAGAAGGAGGAATGCTACAGACAACTACAATCAGTGCTGGACAACACCCCACCACAGATGCCGACATCAAAATTCATTCTAATGGGTGTGTGGGATGCAATGAATGCCAAACTGGGAGCAGACAACACAGGAGGAGAACTCATCATGGGTCGAGAAGCATCCGGTGACAGTATGAGTGAGAATGGAGAACTAACTGTTTGCAGACTTCTGCGCATTCTACGACTTGGTTATTGGAGGTGATGCAGTGTGTGCAAACACAAGGATATTCACAAGGAAGCGAGTGACATGGATTTCACTAGGCACTAGGACACATTATACCAAAAATCAGGTCGACTTCATCGCAATGTGAAGAAAGTGGAGACGCAGTGCAGTGCAGGAATGAACAATGAAAAGAGGAACTGAACACAACCTATAAAACACTACACTAGACAAAGAAGTGAAGAACAGTGCACGCAAAGACAAAAGACACTTCTACGACACACCTGAAAGTGAGGCAGAACAGACAGCAGGCAAGAGAGACAGAGACATGACAACATTATATCAAATAACCAGGTTACTATCTGGGAGGGAACACAACAACGCAGATGAAACCAATAGAAGTTAGAGAAGGAAACCTAATTACAGAAGAGGAGAAACAAAGAAAACGATGAGCTGACCACTTCGAAGGCCTCTTGAATTGAACATCACTGCCACCACCTGCAACTCTGCCAGAAACACCATCAGCAGTCTAGCCATAGAACTATCAGTGAACAAAAGCCATACGACAAAAGCGGAAGTGATGTCGTGAACGCCATAACCTAATTTAATATAATGTTGTGCCCCATCATACCGGAGAGACAAAAAATATCCTGGATTCAAAACTACGACCGGAACAGGCTGGCTGGATTCAGGAAAAGCAAATCATGTGCTGACCACATCATCAAAGAACAGAGGGCGAAATGGCAGTCAACTAAACTCAACCTCAACTTCATCGACTTTGAATAGGCCTTCGACAGCGTCGACCGAGATGTAATTTGGCAGGCAACTGCTTCAACAATACGGTCTCAGTGCCACAAATCTTTATCAACCTCATTCACTGCAGCTGTACGCTATGCTATATGATGCTGCATGTCAACTAATTCACAATGGAAAGCTCAGTAATGCCTTTGAAGTGAAGACAGCAGACAGGAGTAAGACAAGGCTGCCGCCTACTATCACCAATGATCTTCATGATTGTGGTCAACTGGAGTGGACTGGATAATGCAGCAAACTATGAGGAGCGAGAAGACGGTTTTTGGATTTCCCCAATAATGAATGATCTATATCTAATGTCTTGTGGCACAAACTCGAAGATCTACAAGCGAAAACCAACAAGTTCACAGAAGAGTTGAGGCAGAGAAAACGGGACCTCCTTCAGGTGAATGTAGAGAAGACAGAGGTGATGAAGATATCCAACCAACAACAGAACCAACAGCAAGAGGTACAAATCACCATGAACGGGTGAAACCTAAAGGAAGTTATCTCTTTCACCTACCTGCCTAAGCAGCATCGTTTCAACTACAGGCGACGCTGGCAGCACAGATGAGAATGTCAAAGCCAGCCAGGATCGGAAAGGCAAGCAAGATAGGCCTTCATTAGCTTGAATTCAGTGTGGAGATCCACTGCACTCTACTGCACTCAGCGTAAAGCGTGAACGAGATCCACATTTCCAACACTAATGTCAGTCACCTCAGTGCTTCTATGTGGTGGTTGAGAGACTTGGCGCGTCACGAAAATCATTTCCAACAAACTACAGACATTCGTCAATAGCTGTAGCCTACCCTCACTCCACACTGACACTGAAGATCAGATGGCCAGAGTAATGAGAATAAGCAACAAGGAACTCTGACTGGCTAGCAACGAACCAACCAAGAAGCCATCCATCACCCAGGTAAATATGCAGAAGGAAGTGGAGATGTGTTGGATTGGGCATGCAATGAGAAGACCGATCGGGACATTATGCTCCAGGCCAGACCCTCGAGTGGAATCCGCATGAGAAAGGACGATTTGAGCGTCTCAGGATGACGTGGAGTAGATCATGTGATGAAGAAATGAAAGGTTATGGGCAGTGGTGTAGCCAGGTTTTGAAGACTGGAGAGAAGAGAGTGCAATGGCGCCAAGCAACTGAAGCTTTATGTTCCACTAGGTACCCAAGGGCAAATAATAATAATAATAAATGTGATTTAGACCAATCAAGAAAATGGTAATGTTATGAGGAAAGTAAGTACTAAACCAGCTACCATTCAACTGCTCAAACATTGTTATCGATTAATTTACAGTACACTTAAGGTTTTTGTATGCAACCCTTTAAATAATGTTTAATAGATGCACATAAAAACTTTGAAGGTGACATTTGACATGACCTTGTGTGCAGCAAGTTAAATCTAAACTTGAAGCGGAAATTCCGAAAAGATTTTTCAATAAAAAGCAATCCACATGAAGGTTGATAAATAAATGCTTAGGTAGATATCAAAATGATGGCCAGTATGGTGAAATGTACTATGCCTTATGATATTCCTGATTGTGGTCGACTGGATCATGCAGCAAACAGTGAAGAGCGAGAAGAGGCGGATACACTGGACTACAGAAGAGAACCTGGAAGATCTGGATTTCGCCGATGACTTGTGCTTGATGTCACATAAACTTGAAGATCTACAGGCAAAACTAACAAGTTGATAGAAGAGGCAGCTGAAACGGGACTTCAAGTGAATATAGAGAAGACAGAGGTGATGAAGATACCGCACCACCACCATCAACAACAACAACAAACTCCAGTCACCATCAACGGGAGAAACTTAAAGGAAGTAACCTCCTTCACCTATCTAGGAAGCACTGTCTCAACTACAGGTGGCACAGGCACAGACGAGGATGTCAAAGTCAGAATCGGAAAAGCAAGACAGGCCTTCATTAGCCTGAGACCAGTGTGGAGATCTTCTGCACTCCACTCAGCATGCGGAACAAGATACGGATTTTCAACACCAACTTCAGTCAAGTCAGTGCTCCTGTATGGTTGAGAGACTTGGCGCGTCACGATAGGATTTCCAATAAACTACAGACATTCATCAACAACTGCCTACGCTGGTTCGATACTGAAGATCAGATGGCCAGAATAATGAGAATAAGCAATAAGGAACTCTGGGAACGAACCAACCAAGAAGCTATCGCTGAACAAATATGCAGAAGAAAGTGGAAGTGGAGATGGATTGGATTGGGCATACACTGAGAAGGCGGACTGAGGACGTCACGCGTCAGGCCCTCGAGTGGAATCCCCATGGGAAGCGACGAGTTGGACGTCCGAGGGTGACATGGAGGAGGTCGTGTGAGGAGGAAATGAGAGGTTGTGGGCTGTCGTGGAACCAGGTTCAAAAGATCTCAGAGAACAGAGTTCACTGGAGACGTGCAACTGAAGCCCTATGTTCCACTAGGAACCCAAGGGACTAATAATAATAATAATAATATGGTGAAATGTTTATATTTACTTTTGAAAACAATAAGATATATGGCTTATCCTACCAACTGTTAGGAAGTATCTACCGAAAGAAGTAATATATGCATTAATCCTGTGTTTAGTCTATAGTAGAATTTCCATAGAAATTACATCATTATGCCTTTCGATGCGCTTAACTTTTGTATGAAAAGATGAAAAGTGTTTTTCAGAAAACAGCTGTTATTAAAAACTTACTGGTTCAGATGTACTTCTTAATATACACCAAACACATTGAGTGACAGATGAAAACACGGCTACGTATTTACAGCATACCTTGAAAAATACCAGCACTAATAACTTAATTACAATTTACCAAAATAGAATGTGAAACGTAATCTGTTCAAAGGAAGGATTTTACTTCCAGCCTGATGAAGCACACCAAAACAATTGCCTATACTAGTTTGGCAAGTAACATGCAAAACAACTTATTACAATTTCACTCTGAAATCCATAGAAATGCATTGAATTTGAAACATTTGCGGTTTCAGTAATAGACTAAATGATAGGCATGATTTTTAATTTTTGCTGACTGGTATATAGTTTTTCAAAGAGGAAGTAGGCATTGAGATTTGGACGTTATGCATTCCCTACACTTCCGGTTACGAGTGTTTATTTTTTGCAATTTGACTGAAATTAGCTTTAATGAAGGGTTTTACAAATATGCGTATAAAACAAACCAGAAAAGTAGTTTCAACATCGAAATCAATACTTACATGGTAATCCAAACACGTGTATTTTATAAAGACCTTTCACATTCACAGTAAGATATTCAAATGCATAACTTTCTAAATCTAATGTCCGACAATTATATTCTTTTGAATTGGCATCATCATTATCCACTGTGCAGTCATTTTGAAGATTAATGGCTTTAGTCATAGACTCCATACCGTTGAAGTGCAATACTAAAGGAGATGGATTTCAGTGTGATTGAGAAAGGGGGGAAAAAAACAGACAATAATAAATAAACAAATGGGAAGTTTAACAGTAAACAAACTGTTTTCGTTTACTTAATAAATTCAGTTCAGACGACGCAATGTCAGTAAGTCAATTAGACATTTATAAAATAAATAGTAGAAAAGGTATGTTGTTTACTAAACAAAAAATGTCATTCTATGAGAAAATGAATCTACAAGGACAACAGGTTTATGTGTTTTCTCTTACCGTGAAACGGTACACAAATTATGTATATTTTTTAAAAACTAAACAGAGCATAACGATTTATGAAGAAATGTTTTCTCTAAGAATTTGCAAATACCATCTCAATGGGTATGGGAACAATACAAGAATGTTCAATTTTTCTTTGAATCAACGAAATAAAATTGTTTTTATGCTAGCTAGTTGGTAACTGTAATAAAACTTGTTCTAAATTTTCAGGTTGAAAGAATTCCACAGTTTGTTATTGTAATATGCCCACTTAGTTAAATGACCAAATATCAGTGTACTTTCTATTTGTTGTTTGCAAGAAATCGGTAGAAATCCATGAGCATGATCATGGTATTCTATGTAAACACTTAAACTTAACCATCTCAACACAGCTAACATGAATATATTCAGAAAGTTAGTGATCTATGTGAAAATGTGACTGTTACAGTAATCTGTAAAGAGATAATTATGTGTGTCATGTTCCCTAAACCTTACAGCTTTCAGATTCCATTGATCAAGCTTCCAATACTTGTGTAGCATAAACCATATAGTTATATCTCAGGCTTGCTTTTAACTGGCTGGTTATCTAGTTGGTGGTTTATCGAGGTAAATGATGCGAAACCATTATTTAAATTTTAATCAAACTAACTAAAAGGTATCACTTATCCCGTGTCCATCTCCTGCAGATAGAGATATCTACTTACCATCAGTGTGATAAGAAAACAGTAGTAATACTTTAAGATAAGCTCAATGACCAATGGATTGAACGCTAAATCAAAAATTCTTAAGCCCAGCAATGAAATACAAGTGTATTATTGAACATATCAGTTTATTCTGGAGTGTTATACTCTGGTTGAATTTCCAGTGATTGCTCTACCCATAAAAAAGTTTTACGTAATGTAAGACTCCTGGGTTGAGATTATTTGTTTGTTGTTGCATTCATTGGAATAAGGAATCTTAGGTCGTGACATGACCATTTTATCTATTAAAATTGCAGATGGAATTCAGCTACCAAATTTGAAAAACTTCAGTCATTTCATAAAACAATCAGCTACTAACAAGTAATGTCACCCTTTGGTAAAAACAACACCTGAATTAGTTGTTTATTCACAAAATGTACATCTCAATCATAAACAATCTGTTATTAATTAGTGATTAGACTATGGACTGGTGAGGATGTGCTGGAAGCGATAAGAGATGCTCGCGATCACAACGAATGTCAGTCACAACGTGTGACGGCGAACTAAGTGAAATAAAGAAGTATATGTCTTTCAAATGGACAATAACTCATCGATTGTCTGGTTTAGCGAAGTCCTGAATATAAGTACTAAAGAGAGATAACATCAAGAAATGCTCATAGAAGATTCAGAACAAAAATCCAATTGTAAGACTGATAAAGTAGGTTTTTAAGGTAGTTCAAGGAAAATAATTAGATAAGGAAGAAACAAAGCCTACAACCAAACCAATATTTGCTGCTTATAGTTTGTTCGAACATTTTAGATTAAAAGCAAATGCAAACAGGTATCACCGTTGTCAAAGATATTCCGCGTAGATATCCTGTTTGAATACCCACCAAAAAGATTTGCAGCCGAAAAGATATAACATTTTTTATAACAACCCGTCTCAAACAATAAATCTTTGTTTTAACCTCAGTACCTCAGTTAAAACAGTTTTGATGAAGGATGAATGTGCATTGATGCATGAAATCCTTTTGGTTGATTTTCTTATTCAGACCATTCACCACAGAGGAAACAGCACTACAATAAACACTTACCTTGAACTTTTCGAATCCCTCATAAAATCTAGTCATTTTTATTTAGGGTATAAACGAAAAATATGGGGTGTGTAGGTAAGTCATACCGTTGGTAAACCAACTGAAACTAAGATATCATATGTCTTTAAAAAAGCGTTAACAGTATATGTTGGTCCATTCCTAGTATCTTAGAAAATCTGACTTCTGAATGGCATATACTAAGGAGATGTTTACAGTTTATTGTGAGTACTTTAAGGGGCTTTTGTGGTTAGAACATTTTGGTGGATGATTAAAGACTTGTACTTGATTTGTAATTGATTTATATTATCTTATTCTATCATCATATTTTGAACAACAAGTTCCAAGCGATTGTGAATGCGCCACTATCAGATATGCCCCTATTGGACAAGAAATATAATAGGAAAGATTGTTGCAGACTACAATGACTACTAGCCGTTTATGACCCTCTGATATTAGATGCAGGGTAGTTACACACTAAGCTACTTAGGTTGCTGAGGCATATGTTACAAACTAAGCATGAAAATAATTGAAAAACTGATGGGCTATAAGACACAATCAAGAACTAAATTTCTTGAACTGCTTCCCAGGTAATGAAACAGATTTTTCAACTTTCCAATTTTCAATTCCTGCAGACCACAGATTGCAATTCATGTATCTGAATGAGGTCAAAAACGATTTTGTTCGTATGATTGTTTGTTGTTTTTTCTTTTTGGAAAAAGCAAAGCATCATGTAGGAAAAATTTTCGTGAAAGTGTAAAACGCAAAACAAAATTCAATTTCCTTTCACATGTTTCGCACTTATATTTGAAGTAAGTGGTCATTAACTTCAATTAAAGAGACATAAAGGCGTTACAACCAGATTTCATTCAGATAGCACTGTGTGAAAACGTATAGGTTCGTGTATCTACCCATTGAGCCACACCTATTAACCAGTTAGAGCCACTACCGAGTTGTAAAGATTGAAATATTCAGACGAGGAATGAAGCTCAGAAAAAAAAAGCAAGTGAAAATGAGGTACATAAGCTACTAAGTCAAAATTGTTCAAACATACTCATAAAAAAACGTTATTCCTAAAGTATACACATAAGTTCGTAAGTGGATAGTAATGGACAATGTACTCTAATTCAGAATTTTAGTTCTAATTTGCCTGTTCAGTTGTGCAGTAGAAGCAGGCAACTTAAAAATTTGTGATGCAGCATGTTGATTTCAGAAGTAACTGCAGGGAGGCCCACGATTTGACCCTCATTCTGGCGAAACTGTAGTAAATATGCGACTTAGTTGAGAGGTAATACCCTTCAAACATGACAATTATTGTTAAGCTGAGAGTGATAAAGATGTTTATATGAGATATACATGATAATGAATTCTTCAAGGGATCATGTAGTTCAAAATAAACTTTACTTGCATCTCAAATGACATTAAGTCATAGTAACTATGAAAATTCGAGATATTATATGGTTTAGTGTCCATCACTTGTTTGCAAGTCTCTTAAATTCTACAAGGAAGCCGAAAAACAGAACCAAAAGGCTAGTAAGGGCAAATAATCGCAAGATATGTGTTGATGGTAGCGTTATATAATAAAGTATGACTCAGTAATACTTGACTAATGGGTCCCGACTCTTTCGTACAAAACTTGGTTAAGTCCAAATTACATGACCTGAATGCTTTGTTGATATGGTAACCATCAATCAAAATATGGTTCATTTGGTTCTTAGGGATCAACACACTAAGCGACCAAATTATAGTCAGCTTACTTCCTGTAAACTTTCATAGCAATGAGTCATGCATTAGTGCGATAAGTCAGACTACTCAGCTTCACCTGGTCAGTCTTCATTCTTTTCCAAAAATACCCAAATTAAAAAGCATAATTTAGTAGTACCAGTCATCAGACTTCACACTGAATAATATCTTCAGCTTATGAAAATTTCTTACTTGTCTACACTAAAAAGAGTTCAAAAACTAACCTTTGAAGGGTGAAGTGCATACTTTTCTGTCAAATGAGACCAGAAGGTTTTGGTTAGACACTGAGATTCAGTCGACTAGGAGAACTGTACCACCCTTTTGCCAATCATCAATAAGGCGTATCTGTTACCATGAGGGAATCAAGGTTCACTTGGTGATTCACACTTGTGTCACTCAGGAATGAAGTCAAAGACTTTACTAACCAGCTATTCAGACAACTGCTAAACCCCGTGTAAGATTGGACTATGTGAGAGAGTAGGTCACCAGTCGGCAAACGACGTAGTTGTCTATTTCTTATTTTCTGTCTCTAATCAGAGTCTGTCAATCAAACCGGTAGTAACCGAAGTCGACCAGTCCGTCCTCCAGATATGATGACTATGTAGAACAGAATATTCCGACGAAAACCAAAAGGTATAATTTAAGAAAAGGAGAAAAGTATATATCATCACCTTGGATAAAACAGATTCCCGTCGAAACGTTAAGCGGAAGCTTTGCATAATCGCCCAACTGAATGATCCCGTGAAAAGCCATCGAATAAAACATGGTGATGTGAACCTAAGAGCACAGACAGTTCTGTGGATTAGACTAAGTGAGACATGCATCATGTGAGGGCCAGTCCTACTCCACAGCTTCTCAAATATCATTACCTGATGCCAACTAAACGCATGCCTCAGTTAGGCATATCTCCTTAAAGTGATGAAGTATTTAAGTATGGATCTTAATGAGTCACAAATCAATCTTTACAGTCCTAATTCAAACTTTCTAAATAACTGATTATTTGGGAACGGCTTAATTGAATCACCTTTTTACTGATATATATGTGGAGAAGCACATTGTGGCAGTTGTGTTACGAAGGCATTAACAAACGTTTTTTTCAAATAAAAACCACTTCACTATTTAAGACAACTTTTATAGCAATAAAACGCATAGAACCCTAACGAAGATAATTCATACTATAACATGAGTACGAAGTTCATGAGGCCATAGTCGACGCTAAAAACATGTTCGGTAGACTGTTTATTTAGCAACTTATGTGAAATTGGCAGTTCTACATAATAAGAAAGTTGAATCTGTCATCAGATTACAACTAAGAATCTGCTGTATTTTACCTGAACTTGAAATCTAACTTAGCTATATATTATAACTTTAGGTTGAAATGTATTTTGTGAGGATACCAAAAGAAATGCATAACAAGCCTTGGCGATTTGAATGTCTCTAGCTGTTTAATGATAATAATTAAAGCACTTAACACAGAAATTGACACAATATCTCCACCCTGCTTGACTAGCGTCAATGAAGTCAACCATTCCAGGCAAACCATCAGAAAATAAATTTGGAGCTATAGAAGAACTACAAGTACAAAATGTATGAAACTAAAGAATAACAGTCTCTTTGTTTTTAAGGAGTTAATGCTTCTTCAGTGTTAGAGAATGATTTGGGCACCTTGAACAGAGTGCAGTAGTATGAAAAAATATGAATTTATATCTCAGATTAGTCTTACAGCGCTATTTGGTAGTTAAGTATAGACTGAAACTTGTTTGCAGGTTCGTTTAATACCTCCTTGTATCCAAAGAAAATACTTCTTGATCTTACTGCTGGTTAGTGAAAAAACGGTATATCGAATTGGGTGGCAATTGTGTAGCACATTCCGCAACCCTCCTGTTCATTAAATGTTCATACAGTCATCAAGAAACAATTCATATACCTTCACTGAAATTTTCCATCTAACTTAACACCACCTACACCTTACATCTACCGAAAAGAATCAGTAAGACATTGGTAACTCGATACTTATTGCTTTTTAAGGTCATTTACCATAATAGTCAATCTCTTAAACGTATTCAACGTTGAAGAGAACATTACAGAAGTATCTGATTAGTGTGTGAAGCAAAATCTAATAACCACCAGATAACAGAAATGTCTCAAGTTGTTCAAAATAGCTGAATCTTTCTGTGTCATGTGCCACTGAAATACGATGATATCTATTTAAAATGGTACGTGACTATTTAAGTTTACAGAAAATGTTACACATTTATTGGATAAATCTGTCCAGCCTTTTCAATCGAGTGATGTTTCGACAAATGCCAAATCATCATTTCTACATAAATAAAAGAATTAGCCGACAGATAAGTAAATTTGCTCACCATATTGATCTGGCATTCCTTCCTGTTTTGATGTCACCAAGACTACACTTGTCACTGAATATGTTTTCCCAAAATAAATTGTCACATTACGATCATCAGTAGCTTTTAGTGTAGAACTAGCATCTACAACGCTTTCATCATTCAAATGCCATAATGAACCGTCACATGACTCAACAGATCCAGGTGGAACTGAATGATCGACGTATGGCTTCAACAATGTAATATCATCTAAAATGGATAATAAGAGAAAGCAATAATAAATTATTTCCAGAAGAAAAGCTATTTGTCAAATGTCTACTGTTAATATATGCTTTTGAAATAACAATAATTGTCGAATTCATCGAAAGAGAGTAGATAGTGATGTCAGAATATGTACACTTCTTTCACCATGGAAATCGTAGCTCTAAGTAGTAAGACATCTCAACAAATATGTATCAGCTTGTAAAACAGACTATAAGGTACAACTATTTTTGAAGACTACTGAAACTACCTGGATCCGTACATACTAGTGGGTGAAGTGAGTTTTAAACCTCGAACCCATTGTTTAAGATTTGAATAATTAAAATAGTCCTCAGGAGATTTTAATTGATAAAAATGAATTACTTTATTAACGTAGGACTTAAGAGTAATTCTGGCAACACTTTAAGTAACAAAAAGAAGTACATACATTTTTGTCAGTAGCAATTTGACGAAGACCGATAAAAATTACCTTTTTATACAGAAATATTACTGCTATTATTTGTTGATGATGGCTGACAGTGGAATCCAGGATTCGCGTTTCCTTCTGTTTGGGAGTGGTCATCTGAATGTACCTGCGCCTCAATGAGTGATGTTGTTCCCACTGAAACTCAAACCCAGTACCCAATGCGGTAGCACCACTCACTGAGATCCAGGTGTATCCATTTGGTGAGTCCCAAACGGAACGAAACACACTCCATAGATTCCCCTGCTAGCCATCGCTAAGAGGAAAAACAATGAGCAGTCGGGTGATTTCAAGGCATCCACATAGAAACCCATATGCTAACACAGGTCTTTCAGTTCGTTGTAGAAGAATAAAGGCAGGAAATTATAAGTTTCAATAAACGCTTTTTCAATAATGACCATCAAATAAGTCTCAATCTGCCTGATTCTATGGAAAAATCCTGCATAGACTTATGATATGAACGTGTCAAATACCATGGTATGCTTGAAGTGGGAACCTTAAGCGACAAAATGAAATGATAGCCACGTTTGTTAGCCTGAAAAATTTCCTCTTCACCAAATTAACTAACACCATCTAACTTGCACATCAGAAATAAAGTGAAAGTTTTGTGTTTTTGTAGTTTTGTTTTTATTTTTGATACAGTTGGAAAATCTAAAACATTAATTTTTCGCTTTCTAACCATCAATAACTAACATCGATTTCTCTGAAAGGTATTCGGAGTAATTAGAGTACTGTGAATTATATATGCATTAGACTAATGAATATTCATTACTTCGGTTTATAAACTATGAAAGTACACGATTCAGTGAAGTAATTCCATATAACGATTAATCCTTGGTGTTATTAAACAGAAAAGTTGCACTTTTGTAAAATCATCTAACTATCTTCACAGGTTATAACTCAGTAGATCATTATTTGAAGCTTTCGAATTTCAAGTGACAGATCCTGTGTTTAAATCCCACCTTACCTAGTATAATTTGATTAAATCGATGGTATTATAAACCGTTATACAAATGTTTCTAAGACCCTTGTACTAGCTACATGAAGTGCATCAGTTTTTTAATATATTTGAAGCCCGACTGTTAAACTTCAACTTTCTTTGCTATATCCATTGGACTATATACTATGTAGTAATGCCCTATAAATTATTTACACGCTAATACTATCAATCATCGAATGCTGTCAGCAGAAATGAAGTGAGCTTATTTATAATTCAAATGACTCATGATAAAAAGTAGACAATAAACTCTCAGTATCCAGTCTGAATTGGTAATTCAAGTCAGAATAAGTGACATACTTCGAGATGGATTTCTTGAAGTTCTTATAAGAAGTCGTGACCTGTTAGGTCATCCATGTCAGGTGTACGGACACATACTCATCAGTGGTATTGGATGGACGCCATGTTATATCGTCAGTTGTTTGAAGTAGGAAAATGTGGACTACTGGATTTCAAGCCAAGTGCTCGCTTCTAGCCCCAAAGGTCCTGGGTTCGAGCCTTGCCAGAATCATGCGTGCGCCCTCTAAGAAGTTATTTATCAGGATGAAACAGTTTTCCAGTGTTCCCAGGTTTTCAATGGTTCCCCATTGTGAAAATCACCCTTGAAATCTATTGATTCTCATAAACCTTCAAACTGAAAATCAGAAATAGCTGGATTAAACCACGGTGACTTTCAAGTTAGTTCATTTCAGCATAACCCTACTGTTCTGAATTATTTTACTGAGGAATACATCAGTTAATATGTAAATAGGTGAATCAGAGATTATTTAGCTATGTAAGCAGCAGAAGATGTTCAAAGTAGAATGTCAATTTCACTCAACACGTTCATTTCAATAGTGAAAATATTAACAACAAAACTACCAAGATATGTATACACATATACGTTTCATTGTATTTTGGAAACAAAAGTTGATATTGTGTTTACTATAGCATGATATACATTGCACATTGAACAGTATTCTCAACAACTTTTACAATAAAGAATCATATCACTGTTTATCATGCTGTTGTGTGTAGTATTCAGAAATTCAAAAGTACTTTTGTCTTTTTAAAATACCTTATGTGTATGTTTGTTTAACACCATCATCTTATTCTTCATTTGTTTCTTACTGGGCTATACTGTTTTCTACACATATGTAGAGACAGGTAAGAAAAAGTGTAGTTCCAAACTCTTTTAACTTCTACTTCAATTCAGGTATACTGGGATCAAACGTAGAACATGCACAATCTTTTTAAATGTCGTTAAATGAGATCATTGTTTCACTGATCAGTAAATTCACTGTCAATGTTTCCTAGTCTGTTAAATACTTCAACTACATCACTATTTGCTAAAATAAAACACTGGAATACTCTCAAGGGAGTCATTTGGTGACTTTGATGCCTTGCCCGTGATAACTTCTAATCAATGATTCAGTCAAACTAGGCAAACTGAGATTCGTTGAACGCTTAGGTAGTATAACTTAATCTGTAGAACCCCGCAAAATGTGATGCCAGTTTCTTCATGAACATAGTTTCTCTTTAATTACTTATCACCAACAGCATTTACTGCTTAAGAATGGATAGTGACTAGCAGTGGAATCCAGGACACGGGTTTCGTTCTGTTTGAGACTCGTCAACTGGATGTACCTGCTCCCCATTAAGTAATGTTGTTCCCACCAGGACTGTCGAAAAAGACCAGTCAATTGGGACCACCCAACAAAGAGATAATACAAGTAACAACATTAGCATTTACGTCTGTTCTGTATTTCTTATTATAGTTTACTGAGGTACAAGTCAACCACTAGTCTTGAATTACAGTTTAAAACAAAGATATGTTCATTAACAAACAGTATGAATGCATCTGTAGTGAATGTGATGAGTAAACGTTGACAAGTAGAAATTAATTTAGTCTAGAATGAAAGAGATAACTGCTATTTATCCGCCTAGGTCACCTGTCACACTAGCTATATGTACACATGTAAATACCTTTTTAATTTGAGATTTGCATCTTGAGAAAAGAAGAAGAATAAAGACATCATGTGATGGTATCGATTAGTAGTGAAATTTTGTAAAGCAGAAAAGAGGTAGTAAGAGAGTGTGCCAACAAGGGAAAGAGTGTTGTAAAAAGTGTCCTTACCAATACGTAAATACTTTCTAAGAATAAAATGTAATGTGTTCATTCAACCATCAGCGTATTTTTCACACATAGATATCAATCAATACTCTTACTGTGATATCACGGTAATTGAAAGAGTCTGTTTAATGTGCAACTAGTAGAAGGAGGAAAAGCGTTATGAAAGGATCTATACCAGTGAAAATAATTTAACATGTTAATCATCTGTGTTCAGTAAGCATCAAAAAGATACCAGTTTTGTTGTTCATTGTAATTCTTAGCAAAAATGATGTGAAGTATACTTACAAATGGTCATGACCTTATTTAGTAGTGAGATTAATGTATACATACTTAAACTGAATGTTAATTGTATCGAAGACAGACCTTTATAAACAATGAGATGGTAGTCGGCTTTTTGATTTTTGTAAAAATGAAAGTTTAAATCTTCACATTATTCTTTTGATGCAGTTATCCTTTTGACTTTGATTATGTACATATCACAAGCGGTATGTAGTTGTTTGCCGATGTTCAATCTTCACACTAGTCAGTTTATTCAAAAGTGAATATACACCACTTGACAACTGTGTTTAGAACAATGTTACTACAGACTGGTTAAATTATGCATTATGGAAAGATTAATAGGAATATTTAAGCATTGACATACAACCAGAAATGTAAATTAGAACCTCAAAAAGATGTACACCTTTCCAAACTGCCCCACTTCCAGATAATATCGAAAGAAAAACTAAAGAAGATGGATGTGAGTGAACAAGGAACAAATGACATCACCAACTTTCACAGTAAGACGTAAGCTTAAAACATCTGCTCTGAAGCACTGAATTCTCAACCATTTCATTTAAAGTCTTCACCCTTAATTTTCGACATCCCTAGGACGTCAACTACATAACACCACTCTGATAAACAGTAAGTGAATTCTCAGACTGATGTTTTGAACTCCGTCAGCTGAAATATACTTTTACTCGCTATGAATCACTAATGAAGAAAGATTGCTGATTTATCTAAAAACGCATTTCTAATTCGCTGTAAGGTTTAACATAACTTATTCTACACCACATTGATGGTTAGCGATGTCAAGGTTGTTATGAAACAGTACTGATTAGTCCTTACCTTGGAAACGGTGACCAACTGATAGGCCAAAATGATGTGATGTAACCAAATGAAAAGTAGTCAAAAGAATGAAAATTTTCACTACATTTTAACTATGATTTCCCCGGATAGGCAACCATAAAACTAAATTTTTATTGTATTTCATTGCATGAGGAATCAAACTGAAAAATGCTGAAAAATTAGGCTGGTAACCAATCTGTAAGGCTGTAAGGCTGAGAGACAGCTGTTCATGGAAAATATATCAAAGTGATTGGTTACCTAATGCAAAGTAAGTCCACCAGCAGGCATCACCTTATCATTTAGAAACA